GTGGACTGGCAAATTCAGAGGTTTCTTCAAGTCTTTGCTGGGAAAGAAAGACTGACGGAAACCCTTTGGTGGCTGAGGAAGAGCTGCAAACAAAACGGACATTATAAACAAATAGAGTATCAAAGACTTTGAAACAAACAAGTAATATGGACACACGGCTCTTACCATTGCCCTATACAAAAACTGATCGAGGAAGAGGGTAGAGATAGAGGTCCTCGTCTGGAGCAAATTCCCAGTTCCCTAAGGTAATGAAGTAATCATCTCCAGCTCCCTTGTTGGAGTCTGGGAGGTCGGCTACGATTTTGTATTCTATGGACCTCGGCTTAAGGTAGTAAATATAGCCCGTATCTTTTTTGAGGCCACACATGGTGTAACAATATTGGATGTCGACTAAGGTGATCCTAGCATTCTCTTGTTTTGCTAAAGCAATTATACCGTTAATAACTCGATAGGAATTGATGGCAAGTTGCATAGGGTTCAACTTATAATAGTGAAGTATTTCACGAAAAAGGGTGTTCAGTGGGAACCGAAGTCCGCACTCGATAAAGGCCACTACAGGGAAGGGCATAGAATCAGTGGTGGGCATAATAGAGTCGTCATCCCCAGCCAACCTCAGATGGACGTCGGTAGGGATGGAAAACTCTCGCCTAAAGTATTCTAATTTTGTCAGGGTGTCTACCCTATACTTCCACATACCCATGATATCGGCCTAGCTAGGAGGAACTGGATTTCAGAATAAAGGTGTTTTAAAAGGGTTATTGGGACCTCGGCAAAAAACCTAAAGTATGTGCTGGGTAAGGATTTGCGGAAATAGTTTCAGTTTTTCCTAATAATCGTGGGTTCTACAAGCAAATCTCAAACCTAGATCTATGGAAACGAAGATTGAAGGCGCAAAAATCTAGAAAACAGAAAAGCAAGAATGTGCTTCAGAATCAAGAACAAAGATGGACTATCAAGAACAATGGCAAAAGTACAGAAGAGCTGTGAACAGTGTGTGCATTCAAGACGTGAGCAAAAGCAAAATCGTGAAATAAACACACTCAGATACATGATTCATAAATCAATTGCTTGAGTAAAATAGCAATGGCAACTAATGATGAAGTAGAATTTCTTGAAAAGCAACAAAAAATAAAAAACCATGAGGAACAGTGGCTTATCAGAAAGAGGAAAGCTGGAATGGGATTTGCCGAAGTCTGACGACGGTTGCAGAGTCGGAAGATCGGTGGAAATCACGCCGGAGGTGGTAAACGAAGCAAGTTGCAGAACTCAAAAAGCTTGAGCAATGGCGGATTTGAGGAAAAAAGCTAGAGAGAGAAAAAGCTAAAAGATTGAACAAAAAAGTGAAACGACGAAAAGAGGGAAAAAATTTTTTGTTAAAACTTGAAACGGCGGCAAACGAACTTAATGCGCCTAAAACAACGTGAGCTTCAGACGGCGCACACATGCGCGAGACGATTTAGAAGCGCGTCACAAACACGATCCAGTAAGAGGATAGTACGTGGCTAAGAATGAATGAGTTGTTGTGCACGACAGCTCATATGCGTGAGAAGAGCTCTTGGAATTCTTGATCTTTAAGAAGACATGTTAGCCTATAGTGATGAACTTGGCTTAAGCCAATGTACTGCCAAGAAGTACCGATATAGGTTCCATCACCTAAGAATTCCGAGGTAATAGAACGTAGGGGGCAGTTGTGGGGATATATTTTTTGAGTACCAACACGTGGTCAAGGTGATGCCGACGTGTCAGCCGAGGTGCCACGTGTCCAGGTCATGACGCCGAGGTTATCTCGGCAAGGCCGAGGTTATCTCTGAAGATATCGGAATCCGAGATAAGCGAATAAGGGACAAGAGTCCTAGAACGATGAAGGACTTTAGCATGGATAAGGATAAAGCTCTTAAGGAGTTTATCTTTATCTATTGGAGAGTCCAGGATAAGCACTGAGCAAGAGTCCATTGAAGCTAGGCTTCAAGTGGGACAAAGATTGAGTTAATTATAAAAGAGAGGCACCCCCATGGGTCTAAAGTACGCAATTTATATTCTGAACAGTGAGCTTAACACTATTGATTATCTTTGAGAGATATACCGACTTGATCGTCGAAGTGCCCCCAGGTGGACGAACCACCACCGGAATCTTCTCTTTCTGTTGAAGGTCAGTTAGGTGTCATCTATTCTGCTAGTTCTCTATAGCTGAATACTGAGTTGGGCAATGTGATCGGAAAAATCACTCACACACCAAATATTTCACATAGATGTTGAACCCACATAAGAACCACATAGTATAAGTCCCACACCCATGTAAGATATTATTAGAAATGTTGATAAAACATTTGGAGTGCCTAGCATTTTCGTTTGTTTCTACCTAAAAATCACTTGAAGCCATTATTTAATGTATAATTAAACTTGAAAATATAGAACTATCATTGAATGAGAATGAAATAGAATAGAATGGAACTAAGAATTATCATCTCCATTTTTATTTCTATTTGTTCTCCAAACTTGTGTACATCAGAAAAGAATTTTTTTTAACAATGAAAAATAATAATAATAACTTGTTTGGTATTTTTCATAAACAGAAAACTGAAAACTAACACCTAAAATAATTAAAAGCAAGCTAATAGTTCCTCAATGAAATCCATGCAGATCAAATTTAAACCACTAAGAGCATTCGCATCAGTCTCAGCAAATTTTGAGTTAAATTATAATCCAAAATCCACTTTTATATTTTGGCTAATTTCTTTTTTATGTACACACTCCATCAAACTCTCTATTCTAAAATTCTTTTTCATTAAAATATTATTTTTTATTCTAATTTCTTTTTTATGTACACGCTCCATCAAATTCTCTATTCTAAAATTCTATTTCATTAAAATATTATTTTTTATTCTTTTATCTTTTTCAATTTAAATAGATGTTAGATTTGTCCAAAACAGCAGCAGACAACAAGCAAAACAACAGCAGCAAAACAACAACAGCAAAGCACAGCCGAAAACACACATGGGTGGTCAATCGACGGGACGACCGGTCTGGCCAATTTTGGGCAATTTCCTCCTTCAAGTACAAAGTACTCACGGGACATTCGGAAGGACATCCAGATGGACGACCGGCCATGGTGATGAGAATGAAGGTAGATGAGCACTGATGTGTTGCAATGGTGATGGTCTGTTTCCAGATGAGCTCTTGGATACACAGATGAGCTTCAAAACTTGTTTGCGATGACACTAGAAATGAGCAAGGGTTTTCAATTCTTGTATATTTTAAATAATAAAATTCAAATAGCCTGTGAATAGTGTGAATAGTGACTCATCCGATGTAGCTGTAGCAATTCTGTAATACAACGACGGTCTAGCGAGCTTGATGCATCTCTTTTTTTGTAGCGTTGCTCGTCAAAATAGCACCAAATCTGTTTTGGCAAGAGAGATGTGGATGCTCTAACATAGAGGAGACTTACACCAAACCACAACCAAACCAACTCAGCATGTTCATCACTTACCATTAGGGGTGGACAATGGTTTATCCGATCCGTAAAACCCGTCCAACCCGTCCAATCCGCATACAAACAGGCGGTTTCGCAAATACAATGTAGACGAATGCGACTTGAAATATGACATCTTTGCAGGTTGCGAGTTTAACCCGCACCCGCAAGAAACTGCCCGCACTTTATTTATTTATTTATTATTATTATTGTTTTATCTTAACTATTGATTTCATTTATATATCCCACCTACACATTTTTGTCCAAAACAAAATACCCTTTATTTTTTGAACTTCTCTAGCATTGCCTTTGGTAATAGTATTATATTAACTGAAACTGAATAAATACTAATCATATTATTATTGTTACATAACTGAACTTGTCCCGAATGAAGTGTGATTTAAAATTTTAAATTCTTTAATGAATATGAAGTTATAGTTTAAGATTTTGAAATATATGCTTGGGTTAATTTATGATTTGATTTAAGATTTTGAATGATTTATTTGTGTTACGAATTGGATTTGTTGTATTTTTAATTTTATAAATTTTAATTCATTAATTATTAATGTTGGAACATTTTAGAAAACGGGAAGAAAAGGACCCAAAATAAATATTTACAAAATGAAAAAAAAAATAAAGCTCAAAAATAAATTTTTGAAGAAAAAAAATTCAATCCGCAAACCGCCCGCACATCCGCAAACCCTATCCGCACAAATTGCAAACCGCACTGCGGGCGGTTGCTGATTGTCTTTTTCCCAAACCGCATAGATGCAGACGGGTCCAAACCGATCCACAAACCGTCCAAATCCGAACCGCGAACACCCCTACTTACCATAAAAGCTCAAAAAGTGTTTTCCAAGAAAAAATACTACAAGATGAATACCTCCTGAAGTAAAGCAACAACAATCGAATAAATACACACGAACCGAAATATATATATATACACATGTACAATGCAAAAATAAAAAATAAAAATAAAACATGAAGTTTGACGAATACAATCTCAAAAATATCCACAATCATCAATATCCACATTGAAATTCTCCCGAGCTGTGCCAGACTCCAAATTATTCCATATGGTTGAGAATCCAGTCTCTGCATCCTTCAACAATCTCACAGTGAAAAATCAAAATCAGCTACCCCTTTCCTCTTCTGTACATTGATCAGCACAAATAATACAAAAGGAAATCAGGCGAATGTGGTGTAACAATAAAACATACTGCACCCAGATACTAGAATGCTAATCATGTAGGCTTCGACTGTTTCCCTGCTCTTCCCTCAAAATTATGAGCCATAAAAGCAAAATTAGTACTCAAAAAATTATGATAAAACATAAGTGAGAACAATAGGCATGTCACCAAAATTGTCCACGAGACAAGGAATTGTCCCAATCAACACCAAATGAATTTAAAAGGCATATATACAAATGGATTATTAGTTAGACCTGCATAATCATTTTACAAAATACTACTATAAAGCAACCAAAACAATACAATAATATGTTCTAGAATCTATGTACCAAGAAGCATGGTGATCCAAAAATTCAACCTACGTTCCAAATTTGAGACAATTCAAACCCTCACTGACAAAAATCATTCATTCAGAAGCAAGTTTCAGTTGAATGCACAGTGACACCTTTTAATTTTTTTATTCATCACATGATGACCCTACTTCCATGGACTAGCACTGGACTAATTTAGAAAAAAGACTGCAAATAATAAATGGAAATAATCCAGTTGCTCAACAGTCAATGAAAATTTCAAACTACATAATTACACTAAACTTGACAAACTATGTGAAATCAATAACCTAAAACTAGGACCCGCAAATCCAGCCCAATTTGCACAAGGTTGAATGGGAAAGCAACAGAAACTTCCACTGTTTCATGTCAATGTTTCTTCATCTCAACCTCTAATTTAACAATACATGTGAACCTGTGGGCATTGACACCCCGAGTCCTGCATCATGGGCACCTCTGGGGGAGTAAGTCTCATCAATAAGCAGTTTCTCAAGTTTCCAGTCAGATGTAAACAGGTTTGACATCATTTGCACCGAAACTTGCAGCACAAACTGGGCACTTGCGATGGCGTGATTCTATAATCCTTTGAATGCACGGATTGCAAAATAGGTGGTAGCATTTTGTGATGACAACCTGAAGAGTCAAACATTTATAACAATGTCGAAACATACTAAATAAAAATTAATTACAGACGAAAATACATGGGCAACGCATTTAAAAAAATCCTTTATTTGCGCCAAGGGCAATAAGCATATTACATATTTAAAGCAATTTGTTGTTTGAGACAATGTTATATGGACTCTTCTAAATTTGTGAAGTACCCCGGACATTTGACACTTGAGAACAGGCACAGACATGTGTTGGGCATGCTTATTTGCACATGCACCCTTTAAGTATGCCTAAATAGTTGAGTTTAGTATATAACTATGCATAAGACTCCAATTTTATCCATAAAATGCTCTATGTTAGTTTGTAAAAACCTTGCTACATTAAAATGATAAAAGAAGTAACAAAGAAACATGAAATCTAGCATTGTCCTAGTGTCAACATAAAATTTACATGAATCTGATACTTAGATACATACCTGCACCTGATGCTCCACCAATAGAGATGCCTAAAATCCATGGACTATTTAGTCTCAGGAATAAAAGGAAAAGGAGGGAACCTAAGCAACATAAATGCAATGGTCACCTGGACAAGTATTTCTGCTTTCTTTTCCTTTTTTGGTAAAAACTTTCTTCCATTCCCTTGAATGTCTCCACTATAATTTTGTTGTCTCTCTCAACAACGTTTCACATGACAATAAAAGGGGTTGATTACGCGTTGAGTATTGGTCAACAACAGTCTCAAGTCTGAGACAACATTGTTAATGAAGCTCTTATTTGCACCAAAAATAATTGGGGAAAGAAAGAAGACGAAGAAGAAGAAGAAGAAGAAGAAGAAGATGACCACATAAGGACCAGAAAGAGGGCTTGCTGAAGAACAAGAGTGCGAGCCATAATTTAAAATGCTTACATGGGTTACAATTATTTTTCTTCTGTCTTTTGTTCGCAAATGAAAGACAGAAGAAAAGTTGCTTCCTTATTTGCACCAAAAATAATTGGGGAAAAGAAGAAGAAGAAGAAGAAGAAGAAGAAGAAGATGACCACGTAAGGACCAGAAAGAGGGCTTGCTGAAGAACAAGAGTGCGAGCCATAATTTAAAATGCTTACATGGGTTACAATTATTTTTCTTCTGTCTTTTGTTCGCAAATGAAAGACAGAAGAAAAGTTGCTTCTCAACAAGATTAAATATATACATATATAATGAAAGATTGCAAAAGTTAAAACCCACATCTAGTGTCCCCACAGCAGTTTCATGTGCATTATAATCATGCACATGGATAGTTTGCCATCCAGTAAAAGTCAAGTTACAGATGTTGTAGCGTGGATGATGGCTCTAATTTACTTGCATGCTTGAGCCAAGATAAATGATTCCTACCTTCCTTAGATACAAATGTCAAATGTGGCATCGTTTGAATGGATTCTATAAGTCTACAGCAAAATCTTCAAGTTACAAAACTTCATATCCAGCCCAAATCACCCTAGAAACATGCAAGGAAGAGTATTTTTGGGGGAAGGAGTAGGTTAACGTGATTTCAGCTTATTCAGTTCTGTTTGTGCAGAAGATCTAATACTGAGAGTCGGAGAAAGTAAAGTGGGAGCAGCAGTATAAATTTTGATGGGTTTATCAATGTTGCAATACTGTGGTGCCACTTCTGTTGCTTATAAATGGTCATTTGGAAGTAGGTCGTGTAGAAACAGGTCAAGAGGAAACTGGAGAGTTGGTTACTGGAAAACTATTCTGAAATTTTGAGGTGACAAGTAATAAGCAATTATATTCTTCTGGAAAAAGTACAATTCAAATGTCAGAATAAAACTCCCTCACAATTTAAATTTTCCTGCATTCTCTTTTGACACAGCCTTTTTAGGGTTCTATTCAGGCTTCAAACATCTGTGTAACTTTGTCTGCCTCATGTTCTTTCCCACATGCATACTAGATAAATTTGTGCTTCCCTTGTGCATAAACCAACTCCCAAACTGATAATGGTGCAACGACCACCATATGCTACACGTCAAATATTTGCAAATCATTCATAGAACACTAGATGAAAGAAAAAAAATGGAATATTTACCTCTTTTGACCTGTCAAGGCAAACACTGCACTTGAGAATTTCCTTGTACTCTCTGAGCTCCTGCTGCTGAAGCTTGTCAACCACTGATGACCCCTCTATGTGTGATTTAAGACGTGAAGCCTTTCTCCTCACAACTTCTAATTCCTCTTCTAATCTTTTCTTTCCAAACCTACTTAAAACAAAAATGTAGGTTCGCAATCATTACAAAGCGAAAACTAGAAGAACAAGACAAGTACAAAGTTATTACCTCTCTTTCTCCAGATATATCTGAAGCTCAGCAAGAGACACTCGACCTTTGTCAGCCTTGGACTGTGATCTATCCAATAAGTCCCTCAGTTGCTGAGATGACTTCCTCACATCCAACAACTTCTTTTGGGTATTTTCTAATATCGATAAGCTCTGAAACCTATCTTCCGCAAGTGTCTGAACTTGTTCTGAACACATTTTGAACTGCAAAGCCAACATCACAGATTCAATATTTATATCCAAGGCTGAGGATTATTTGACATTAAATGGAATTTCAAGACACCTGATCTTCAATTCTTGCAGCTTTCATGCTGTAAAAATCAACAGATGCCTCGGCTTGATGAATTGCCTTCTCCATGGTTTGTTTCTCCATGAATAGAGCATTTCGATATTGTTTTGCCTGCACACCCTCTAGAACAAGCTGAAACAAAATAGAACAGCCAACACAATCATCTTAATAATAATCATAAACGCACAAACCATCATATAGAATGAAAGTGAAACACAGGACACAGGGAACTCTTGAAAGGCAAACACAGTTGTGATAGCAGTGTTGCAGTAATTTAGAATGTACAACTATATTCCACTGTAAACAGATGAAAGGTGCTATATGTAATAATAGTTTATATTAATTTTGTGAAGAAAAAATTTAAAGGCAACAGTTTCATTTGGTTTGGTGAGCACACAATTTAAAAATTACACTGTTATTTCATAATTTTTAACTAGAAACATGACCCACGTACTAAAAACCTCAGTGTATGAACTGACAAACATCGACAATTTTTTCCTCTCTTTCCCCAGAAATCAAGGTTAAGTGGCCAAACCAGGTACCACTTGGCCTACACTGGCAGTGGTATAAGCTCTGTTGTCAGAATCTTACGATTCGCGATTCGATTCGCGATTCGATACGCAATTTTTGCAAAATCGATACGAATCTATGAGTGAATCTATTTTGGAAGTGAATCTCTAGTGAATCGCACGATTCACAATCGATTCACGATTCGATTCACTTTATAAGGTAGACAAAATGGAAGCTTGGAACTTCCAAGTTTTGCTGAAATTTTTTAACCTTATTTCAATGATATCCTTTAACTAAAGAATGCAAGACAGCAGGATGTCTTTCATCTCAGAAATTTGCTAAAAACAGAGAAGGCAAAGCATTTATACTGCTTTCTTTTACGCCTCAGAAAGAAAATTTGAAGCATGATATTGCCTTGACAATTCCAATGTGAAAAGATGACAAACATGTTCCTGATAATTTCCAATAGGGCGCACACACATATAGATAAACCCAATCAAATAGCTCTATAATAATTCCTGTATTCCTGTATAAAAATGTCAAATAGTCCCATACAACCAAGCTGTCTTCAAGAAAGTACCAGCTCAATAATGTTTCGCTTCTCCTTCAGCCATAGACTATTCTTCAAACTGTGCCAATGGGCTTCCTTTCTCATGTGCAGATTTTTCTTTTTAATTTTATTTTTGAAACAAAAAAAGAAAACACAGATGGCTGTGGAAACTTCTTCAAAAATAGAATTGTCAAGATCCAATAAAGCTTTATAGAACTTTATTAACTAATTTAATTAGGCTAGTACCATTATCTTTGATCTTTCAAAATAGAAAGGAAGCTGCCAGCACGAATGACACGTACAGTAAAACATTTTTTAACAAGTCCAGGTCAGAACACATCAGCAGTCAAAAGATTGCAGTATTAGTATAAAACAATATAATATAATATGATTGCAGTATTAGTTAAAAGATGTTTTACTGTTAAAAGTCCAAGTCTTACCCTGAACTTTTATACTAAAGATTGCAGTATTAGTATAAAACAATATAATATGATGCACACAAAATGCATGATAAATAGAAAATACGATCTTTATTATTAACCCAAATTTTAGAACTCAAAACATACAAATTCAAATATTATATATGTATATATCAATACACAAGGAAAGGGGAGGGAAAAGAAGAAGAAAAAACACTTGAAAATAAAATTTGAAACTTGCAATCAATTAATCAATTAATATTCCAATTTCTATATTAACAAACAAATCATTACATACAAAAACAAGGAGGCCCCAGATGTATGCTGTAAGAAAGGAAGTGCACACAGGGACCTTAAGGAGTGGTTGTATAAACTTCACCTTGATGTTATAATCATCTCTCTCTGTGATTTGCTGCAGGAGGTGTTGGTTTTGAGTTTGCATATCATCATATGCCTGACCAATAGTCTGGAGAAACAAGACCAATAACATCAGGACTACTTCACAAATACATTGCAGACAAATTATCATATCCATATAATGGGACAGGAACCTAACCTCTATTTCAGATAGGTAGGTTTCATTTTCCTCATGTTTGGATTTCAGGACATCTGAAAGCCTGGACTTTTCCCTGAAATAGCATAGATCAATATGTATCAGGGTTTCTTATAAATTTATATACACTGGAGAAAAAAGAGGGGAAAAAGGATTGTAAGAATGGGTAACATCCAGGATAATATTAACTAAATAATGCCAATACTCAGAAATCATATAAACTTCAGTTAGCACCAAAACACCAATACATGTGAAATGGATCAACATATAAAACTGCAGCATAAAATAACTGAACAAATCAATTATGACTCAGCTCAAGATCCATAGGATAAAGTTTCAGATAAAACTTAGCAGACATAGCACCTATATGACAGACACTTGAACTGATAACTAGCTCAAGAGTGGAAGAGTCCACATAGCGATAGCCTTTTTAGACGACAATCATAATGACATTTCAAGCACATCGTTCAAATATGAAATAAACCTTTTAGAAGCTTCCAACTTCTGTCTCAAGTCAGCAATCTCAGCTTCTGCCGTGGCTAGCCTTTGCTGAGAGGTGGCCTCAGCTTCAATTGCTGTTTTAACTCGCGATTCCAGATTGTGCTCATCAAGAGAGGACTTCAAGCTCTGAACATGAGCCCATGCCTTGTATTCAGAATCTCTAGCTTCTAAGACATCCCTGCAGTCATGTAATAATTATATTATTTGCAACCAAATACCATCCACAAGATCTTGGCATTATCAATCTAAGGACATGAATTGACTACAAAAAACCACATCCACTAAGCGCAATAAGCTTTGTCACCAAATTGATATTGAAAAAACAAAGCCTGAAATATGCACTTGGTATCATAGGTTGCTTACAAATATCTCCCTGCTAAAGTTAGTGTAAATAACTGTATAAATGCCCCGTTCTTTATAAAAGTCGCCATTATTTGTTTCAATTTTAGCTCCCGCTGATATAAGAACATGCCTATTTGGTTGTCGCAGAAAGATTTTTCATGATTTATTGATTCAATAAAAGGTGGAAAGCATCTTAAAGATTGTGTCATGATTTATTGGCTCAAATCAATGCATTTTATCAGTGATTCCACGACATTGTCGAAGCACAAAAAAGCACACGTCAAAATAAACCTTGAACAAGTAACAGTAAAGTACAATGGCAAGAAATCTGCGTTTGCTCTAGCAAATGTTCAGAAAATATGCAGGTGAGAACTTTGGGCATGTGGGTAAGTCTTTCAATATCCTTTTGACTGGATAAACCTTGTAGTGTGAAAAAAATTCTTAAAAAGAAGATAATTTCTCATGCGGTTATGGAAAAATGGAGAAGGTATGGTGGTTTTGGTAACAAGCTGAAAAACATGAAATTTTCCCAGAGCAAATACCTACTTGCAGTAACAAAAATGGGGCACATGAATTGTGTACAAGAAAACAAGGTAGAAATATATACACAGACCCACATTGGATCAGACAAAGTTCAAATCTAGAGTGAAATGTAAGAACCCAACACGCAAAATTAAATGCCATGACCTCCAAGGGACTATCTGCTTGTTGCTCTTTAGAGGGAAAAACATCTCATCCCTATTCATTGTTTTAAAGCAAACCATTTTATTGTTTTCTTCAACATGTATTGCTCTTTATAGTGGCTTTAGGGACTACTCAACTTGAACTCCTTACTGAGCATTGCTGGTATAATTCAAGGTCTTTTAAGCAAACTCTTAATTTTGGTATAACTCCTTATCCTTTAAACTAAATCTTGATTTTAACAGAATAACAAGAGTTTTATCAAACAAAATTTGCATGAGCAGATGCAATGCAAATTGATATTTCTAAAATATTCATATTATTAGAAAGCCAAACCGAACCAACCCAATTTTAGTTCAGTTAGGTTTAAATTTCTGGTTTGTTATTCTGGTTTGTTAAGTTATTACTCAAAATTTTTGGCCAACCTTAGTTCAATTCTGGGTTTGGCACTATATTACCAGAAAACGCTAATACCTTAGCGAATTAGGTATTGGTACGCACGTTTCAAAACATGGTACACTTTCGTTCCAAAACAGTAAATTTAGTGATCTGCAGTGATTCCCAAATTTTTTTCCATATATTTCCTTAAATGTTATCTTAGGAGAAAAAAAATAATTAAATATATGAACTAAAATCTAAGGTGAGTTAAGTTTTAACAAGACAAAAAATAAAAAAATGGGTCATAATTTTCATAGAAATGATTTGTTACATAAAAAAAGAAGAAAAATTTTTATAGGATACTTAATCGTTAAAGAAAGTACTCTAGAAGTACCTTAAATTCTCAAGTGTAATATATATAAATCTACTCTTATCGTACCACATTTTAGCACGTGGCGTACCATGTTCCGGTTCCTGTTCCGTGTACCGGAACAATCCATGTTTTAGGTAACATAGATTTGGCAGCAAACTCATCCATGGGCACCCTTTTTCTAAACTGAAAAAATAAACAAATAAATAAATAGAAAAAAATAGCCCCATCAGTCATTCCCAACAAGAAATCAACCACCAAAAGCTCTTCACTGACCACCACATAATACGCGTTTACATGTGAATCTCAACAATGTTCCTCGACCATCAAAAGCTCTTCACCCACCACCAAATAATATGCATTTACAAGTGAATGTCAACCATGTTGCTCCTCTTGCCTTCACATAGTGTAGCTTCCTTCTCCCAAGGACGATAACCACTCCCTTTCACCTTTTAGTGGAACATATTTATCTCAACCAAAAACTTTGTAATTCAGCCTTCAAAAAAATTCTTTCAATAGAAAGAGCATATAAAGTTATAAATAAATAAATAAATGGGTAAATTCCATTTTACCCTAAAGAACTTCAGCCCCTTCACATTTAAAAATAGTCAAAGACCCCTTTATATGGTTTTGATCATTCGCATTTTACCTTCTTGCCGTAATTAATTCCACCCAAATTAATGGAATTTGTGCCACACGCACCTAATTTGAGAGTTGAAATGGAAAATTTTGAACCAAAATGAAATTATAATGTCAAAGGACACATTTGCTCTTCTTCCCCAAAACCCTAATCCTAACCATCTTCTTTCCAAGAACCTAACCCTTACCCTAACCCCTAACCACCTCCTTGCCACCACCAACCACCCACTCCCTCCCTCCTCCCCCCCTCCACCCCTCTTAACTAACCACCACCCCCACCCCTGCCACTCCCTCTCCACTCACCCACACCCAACACTGCCTCTCACCTCCTTATCCATGTCGCCACCCCTTCTCTCAATAGCAAACAAGTACACATCAAGAAGCTCATATTAAATTTGAGTTGTGCCAAGGTAAAATGACATCGTGAAGAGGTTTTCTACAATTTATCATGTATCATCAACCTCAATTTCCAATGGGAACCCAATCCAACCTCAGGATGCCTCTTGGATATAGTTATAAAATAAAAATTAGGGATATATATATATGTATATCTTTTTAAAACTGCCACGGTGTTAGCATTGCACTATAGTCTAAAACCATTTGAGTTCTTTTAGGCTATTTTTAAAAGCAACAAGTGTGAAGTGCTCCAGGCAATACCATAAGGCATAAAATGGATTTTTTCCTAAATAAAAAGCAAAACAATTTTCATAGGGAAGGGGGAAAAAAAGTAAAAGCTACAAGCATCTTTCTTGAAGATACACCTTTACACCATATAATTGCTATAACGCGCTAAATCAAAAGGTGAAGAAATACAAAATGTTTGGTACACTTTGAAAAGAAGGAAATTATCATTTTTCACTAATAACATTGACTAGATTACTTCAAGCCAAAGTAATTAAAACGAATGTAACATTTAGTATCTTGCATAGATACACTAACCTTGAATCAATGGATTCACGCCTATACATTTCCAAAATGAGCTTCAATTCCATATCACTCTCCTTCAAATTTCACGCCTATACATTTCCAAAATGAGCTTCAATTCCATATCACTCTCCTTCAAATCACGTAACTGCATGAAGAAATGCAAAGTTACATAGCTTGGAAATTATATTTTTCAAAAAACAAGAATTTGTTTCTGTAATGAAATTATTCTTTTTCGCCTCCTTTAATAACAAAAAAATTTATTCAAAAACAAGAAAAGAACAAGCAAAACAACAACATACTCAAGAACCACAAAGATACATGCTAAGAAAAACTATTTGGATGTATTGCATATCTTCCTCAAGTTTTGACTTCAAATAATTCAAAAATTACACAGATACCAAACTATAAAATATTTAAAAACATTAATAGTAGAAAATAACATTATGCCATACAAATTTGGAGGTTTTAAGTATCGTTTATTGCCTTTAATTTTCAAATGGGATTTGAATTTGTATAACAACAACTTCTAAGCCAGCTTTTATATGAGTTTTTTTTTTTTTCCTTCCCCTTTTGACCTTTTTCAGAACTTATTTTCAATTTTCAATTTTTGTCAAAAACATTTACTTTTTAGGAGCTTCTAGAGTGAAAGCCCCTAATTTTTTTTTAATTTTTTTTTAACGGATCAAAATTGAATTAATCCACTAAAAAACAATTTTCTTTGCCTTTCCAATAAAATTGGATTTTTTTGTCTTTAGTGGATTTTTTCAATTTTGATTCAATTAAAGGTTTCGAGTGATAATGCATTCTATTACAAGGTCTTGGGTAGAACTCAACCCCAAAAGTTGGCTATTGAGGTGAGGGTGCCCTCACACTTATATGCTTAACATTACTTTAGTACTCAGGCAATGTAGGACTTCGCTTCACACCCTCTCTCAAGGAATTGTCGTAACAGTGAAATGAGAGGCCAACACTTCATTGTCAAAAATCCCAATGAAACAACTAGTCACCGCATGTGCACAGACAAACTAACATAATCAATAATTTATAATGTTGGATTGAGATTTAAATTTCCTCCCACTTGGAATCCTCTTTTTATTATCTCATTATGCATTATGTTAATTAGATAAAGTGGTTCCCAAGCAACAAGCGGTTTAGAATTTATACTATTACATACGGAAGTGTAACAATTAAATGGATGTAAACATGACATATCATGAGAAAAAGATGCTCAAATTATAGAATTCTTGGCACAGAGCTATAGAAAGGCAAAATTATGCATGAACTCGTAAAGCTCCAACCATGATATCCCTATGGTTGTTGAATTCGCTACAAATTGTGAACAAAAAATAACTAAAACGCAGAATTTGATGCAGTTAGTGTACAACTAGATGAATGTGCAAACAAAACTAATTATTTGGATAAGAGGTCCAAACAGAGAAGTCTAGGAACAAAATAAACTTCTGCCACATGCAAGGAAGACAAAATAAACAAAATAGTTTTCTTTATGTAATTCGTAATAATAGGAAGTCAAAACTAAGTCAGACAACTTCAGATAGCTCAGAACATCTTATCCCTGTGATAGTTGGCATTTTAGCTTTAAATAATAAACAAAAATTACAAATAATTTAAAAAGAAAAAAACACGTACCACAGATTGCAACTTCTGCATTTCAGCAGCTTGGTCAGTTGATCTAAGAGACAACTTTTTCAACTCTTTAGCCTGTTAGACAAAACAAGGTTTAACTCCTCATCTGTGTCCAAGAATATGACAATTATATCAAAGATACCCACCTTCCGATCAAGAATAGTAGAAAGAGATTGAACATTAGCTCGCAGAGAATGAACGTCTGAAGCAGTCTCTTTGTATTTACGCAGCTGACTCTGCATACTGCCCATGTCCTCAGGAAATGAAGAAACCAATGCTTTAAACTCTGCAATGATTTCTTTCCTACCTGAAATAATCACAACAGTGCAATAAAATATCAAAACAAAGAGAGCATGTATAAAATGAAGATCAAAGGAAATCATCAGGATTGCTAATACCAGGTTCCCTTGATGCTTCTTCCAGCCTGGTTTCAATCAGATTTTTTTCATTAATTTGTTTCTGTATCTCTATTTGCAGCTCAGTTGTTCTACACTCAGCAACTGCTGCATTTCGATTGAAAACATCAACTAAATCATTTTTCATGTTCATTTCTTTTTCTCGCCAGCCAAGGTTATCCTTCTCAGCCTACAGTTTTAATGATAATAAAAAGAACAGTCAGCATTTGAACATAATACTTTCATAAAAATGAAATACAGAGGCATAAATGAAACTACCGACCAGTTACAACCTGTAGTTTCTCGAATAGTGCTTGGTACTGGACTAAATCTGCTTTCGACTTTGCAAGCTGCTCTCTAACCAAGACATAGGCTTGGGACAAGGAAATACCCTTCACGTTCTTCAAAGTATCCTGTTGAGCGAAAATCACCGTTCAAAGCATGAGAGAAAATTAGTAATAGGAATATTCAAATATTGCAACATTTGAACTTCTACTGAAAAAAGAAAAAGACAAGCAATATTTAAGTTAACCTGCATATCAGATAACTGCTTCAATATTCCTATCCTTTCTTCATGGAAACGCTTGAGCTCAAGTAGCCGACAAGAGGCTTGGTCCTGTGAAGGACCTCAAATCAATTGATATAGTTACCAGTTTCAACACCAAAAGCAAACAAGAAGGAAAAAAAGATGCTTGCTTATTACCAATAACTCCTTGAGAGCAGACTCCATATTTTGCAAATCTTTTTGTTTATCTTTGGTTTTATCAACAGCAACAGGTTTATTCACCAAATTTAGGGCAGGGAAAAATGCCCTCTTTGCTGCATCTCTCTCTGTTTTTAGAGTCGCCAATTTACAATTACTTTCTTCTAATTCTACAACAGTACTCTCCAGTTCCACTTCAAGAAACAACAAGGCAATAGTCAGACCTGCAGACCATCTACTGACCTTTTGGGGAAATAGTTCATTAAAAAAAGATGAGTACAATAACACAATTTAAGAGGTGAATGACTCAAATATAAACTATCAAATGACACATGAAATCAGAGATATAAGAATAAACAACTATGCCTTAAGCTATTACAAATGCAGTCCATAACGTAACAAAATCACTTTCAGCTATCACATAGAAAATAAAAAAAGCTAAGCAAATATGTCAATTATTTAGGAAACATATATGGCGACCATTGTTGAACATCAAGGCAATCTGTAAGATAATAATTAAAGGCTAACATATAAAAGTGACCAAAGCTATATAGCATGCCCACCACATGCCTCTGAGGAACAATTGGTGCAATTACAAGCTAAGGAGTATGGCTACGGACATGGGATACAGCGATTTTCAAGAACTCTAGATACAGACATAACAGAGATACGGGGAAAAAAATACTTTATATTTTCTTATTTGCTACGTATATGAATATTACATCCACAAACAACTAAAAATAATGAAAAACTAATACTAATTCCACATGAAAAAACTACTCAATCTATAATTTAAACTTTATTCAATATAGAATACTATTTATCAATTATAAAACCATTACATTAGATTTGTTTGCCTTCATCAACATCAGAAATCGTGGGTGTGCACTTCTATAACCATTACAAGTGGAAAAAAAAAATAGCAATTTCAACAAACAAACATTAATTTAGAATTGCAATTCAACAACTTCAACAATCAAACTCTAATTCTAAAATTAAGGGAGGGAGACTGGAGAAGAATGCTACTTATTACTATTAGTATCGTTTAAATAGTAAGAAATAGAATATTACATGATCATTATTAACACAAACAACATGTTTACATAACGGTGATTATAAATTTATGAGACTCTTTACAGCTCTTGGCTAGATAACCGTATCTTGAGAATGTCTAGAGACAAGAGGTGTCTGCGACTTGATCCCAAAGTGTGTGGGCAGAGAAAAAATAATATAAAGCTGAGACACGCCTGGGTCAAAGGCATGTTATTGTCACACACAACTACAACAACTAAGCTATGAAGCATGGACACGCCAGATCTCATGCCGTGGGGGTGTCTGACACGGGGACACGTCGGGGACACGCCGGGGACACGTACGGGACACGCCAGGTGGCGTGTCCCTTTAATTTAATTATTTTTTTACAGGGGACACGGCGGAGACACGGCGAGGACACGCGTGTCCACCAAATCTGGACACACGTGTCCAAATCTAGACACAGAGGAAAAGAGAAGGAGAAGATCAAGGTCAAGAGACAGTCGGTTCAGGCGACTTACCTCCATCAGTCGATTTAAACCAATTGATCCACCACCTCCATCCAGTCGATCGAAGACCCTTGACCCCCATCAAGTCAATCGAAGGTAAGCCCCTCTCTCTCAATCGATCAGTCGATCTCCATCAGTCAATCAGTCGTCTTCCATCCAGACGACTTCGAAGGTAAGCTCTCTCTCTCGCTTCGATCGTCTCTGTCCTCTCTCTCTCTGTCTTCGATCGTCTCTGTTCTCCCTCTCCCTATTTCTCTGTGTTTTTGTTAATTATATAAGATAATTGATCAGATAATATATATATATAATATAATTTTATTTTATTTAAAATTTCAATCTAAATATATAAATCAAACACTGCCAGACAAAGCTGAATCAATTCCGGAGACAGTAAAGTCATCACGTCAATTGTCAATGGGGAAATCTGCCTTAAGATATCTCTAATGATTTATCTTTCTTTTTTTTTAATTAAATTTAAATAAGAATTTGAACAAAAGTTTTTTTTTGATATCACATATATCATTGGAGTTTCATCAAATCATCAGTCAATTGGTAGACGATTGAATAGATGTCCAGCAAGTGTAAATTTTTTACAAATTTTTATTTGGAGATGGTCGTTTGGAGGGACTTCTGATGATGAAAATCCAATGATAATGAATAGTAATTTGATAAAATATATATCCATCCTCAGTTTAATATATAATAAATAAATAAAATAATTAATGTATATTAAAATAAAAATATTTATAAAAAATTAAAAAATTTGCCGTGTCCCCTGCCGTGTCCGTATCCCCATTTTTTAGAAATTGCCGTGTCCGGTGTCCGTGTCCGTGTCCGTATGCGTGTCCGTGTCCGTGTCCGTATGCGTGTCCGTGTCCGTGTCCGTGTCCGTGTCCGTATCCGTATCCGTGCTTCATAGCAACTAAGTTCAAGTGTTCGTGCTTCATAGATTACGAATAAGCACACTTGGATCACACCTAAAAACTTTTATAAAATACCATGCCTTAAGAACCCTAAAAAAATAGTTGATGCCCCTGCATGGGACTCAGCAATTGCCAATCAACAATGGAAAGACTCTTTTATTTTCACAATCTGACCAAATGCTTAATTTCACCTTCTATGGTTGAACAAGCACCTTTTTTGCTGACTGACTGACTAAATCAGATACATGTAAGAGTGATGAATTTTACTGTGAAGAACACTCGGATGGTATCAAAATAGAATTGAATGTTTGGATGACATTTACAGTAAATAAACAATAATCTTGCTAAGGTGTAGTAAGTTACCCCTCAAACGTTTAAGCTCAGCTTTATTCTTCGCATCAGTATCTCGATGGCACTGCAGTTCCCTTGCTAATGATTTGTGATTCAAATAAAGATCCCCCAGTGCCACTCTCAGATTCCGGACTTCTGTCTGTAAATCGGTGGAAGCCTTTTTTCTGCATGAACCTAGAGGAAAGACAAGTATACCAAAAAAAAAAATTGAGGGAAAAACTCAAAAGTAAATAGGCAGGAAGTAGATATTAGAAGTAGTATCATCGACCCCATTAGACTTACCATCTTCTGGAAGTGCCTTCAAAACTGTAGCCTGCAATCCATCCTTCAAGTACCACAGCTCATTAATGGCTGCCACTATATTGGATAATATGTTCTTGGACTTTTTAACAGCTATTTGTGTATCTTCTTCATTCTGGTTGAGGGAATTAATTACAGAGCTACTTTCAGTTGCACCTGTTTCTAACAGTCTGCCTAAAAAGGCATTCTCTGGGGTAGACAAAGGCCCATCTAAAAAACAAAGAGAAAGAAAAACCCTTAACCAGCAAGTACATTTGGAAGTGACTGGCATTTCCTTGTTAACATAGAACTAACAATTATGTAGGATGATTGAAGAACAATTTGCATCCAGTTCAGCACAAGCAGCAAGCCAGGTCAAAAAGTCTCTCAAGAAGAATTTAGAAATCAAAACCGTTAGTGCCTCAGTGATTATTTCACGCAGAAAAGACACACAAAGCAGATACATATGCACTAGAATAAACCAAAATAATTTCAAAATGTGGAGGTGGAGGCTCAAAATGAAACTATACCTTCTCCATCCCAAATTGTTTTACATCAAGGGGTCCAATTTGCTTAAATGGCAGGAAAATCTATAGATACATCAAGGGGTCCAATTTTCACTTCAAACACCCCAATATATAGCAAAACCAAGTTTCTCCTCTCCCAATTATTACCAATTTCTTCTAATAGGCTAATACCACGTTCCCTGTGTGATTTTCATTCAATATTTTCTTAAAATAATTTCTTCACCTCTCTTTGATTTCCTCATTTTGCACCAACAATACTTAACTCTCATTTTTTATGAAGTTATTAAGATTAATTTCTCTAGATTTCCTATCCCTCACCCTAGTTCATCATATGCTTTAAGTTTAGCAACCCTATCTCCTATTTTTATTACTTTGTTCACACTTTTATATCTATAAAAAAAAATCCAATTTCTAGTATTTTGCCAAGTTTAATAACTCATGCGTCCCTTTAATAGGGATAGAAATCCAAATGGAGAAATATGACAATCAAAAGAGGATGTGGAAGACAAAAAGAAGAAGAGTTACAAAATTGGATGAAAGATAGAGCCAACAGAATATTGGAAAACAAGACAAAACATAAAGAACTAAAGGGAAAGATAAGGAAGAAGTCTCAAAAGGAAACTGAAGACACTACAGAGGGCCGGGGGAAAAAAATTGAAGGAGAAAGGGGCAAGGGAGTGGGAGAGTTGTCTCTTTCAAGTATTCATTGAATATTTGTCCATCTCAATATGCATTAATTTGTTCATAAGAGGCTTATTAAATATAGCATTAACAAAACCTAATAAACACATTAAAACCTTCTAAAACAAATTAAAAATAATCACACGCAAAATGTAAACTAATATGACAAAAAAATCCTACTAGTCATGCCACACAAAATAGTTGCACTCCTCAAAATTTTTTGTTTAAGTGTCAAGACAAGTATCACTTAAGAAAACAAAGTCTCCAGCCAACCCAAAATACTACAGCAATAAGCAGCAATTCCTGAGTTGGTGCTCTCTATATACTTCCTATAATGCCCTTGCCACTTTTTTCACAAAAAGGACCTGAGTTGGTATTCCATATATTCTTCTTATAATGCCCTTGCAACTTCCTTTACAAAAGGGCCAAGAGATTAAATTTATACTTTCAAATTTTGCACACATTCTATCCACAACCCTCATTATAGGAAATCTACTAACATCAAATTTATGCAAAATTGACAGGAAAGAAGAAACATGGATCTTATTACAAAAATAATAAAGTGGGAGGAGAAAAAAAACATAAGGTAAATAATCAAGTGGGAGGAGAGAAAAATGTAAGGTAAGGCAATAGCACAATGAACAAAGACGCACAATTTAATTAATATTGCACCATACATAATATAAAACTTAAAAACAAAAAAGGGGGGGAAAAACATATTTTGATTAAGGAAAAGGAAGTAAATTACTAGTGTGTGACTATCCTCACCCTCTGTGATCAATTGTGTTTTAGCATCTCGTCCACTGCTCAACAAGTCTTTCGTGCAGATAGAGCAAGATTCCAAACCATCAACCAGCTAGAAGAAAAAATTGGAGCCACATTGCCATCAAGCAATATTCAATATTGAGTAAATACAACTAAATTCACAAACAAGGAAAAATCGGGGGAAGTGACATGCAAAGGTATGCTACCTGTTCCCAAGCCTTGTTGACCACCACTAAGGTCTCATCATACGGCTGTTGTTTCTCCTTCAGTTGACTATGTTTTTTCTCAAGAGCAATGTGTTCAACTTTCTGAGCCTCTAACTTCTGAACAAGCTTTTGATTTTGATACTCAAGCACTGCATTGTCAAGCTACAGCAAACCCACACCAAAAATAAATAAATACATAAAAATAAAAAATAATGAAACTTAAATCGCAACAAACATATTAAATCTAGTGAGAAAACTATGAGGATAAACTAAAACAATAATTATAATCCAGTCATAAGTGACTGCCACAAAACAAGCCAACTATAAGTGTTCAATAAAGAGTTATTTATAAGTACTCAAGCTTCCAGCTTAGTAACAATTTTAACTGCTGCATATCTCCAGGTAAACAGCATATCATCACCTCCAATTAGTTAGTATATATAATGTGTAACATATTGGTTTGTTTTCCCAAAACAAAGATAACATCAATTTTTAGTTACTCAAGTTCAAATTCCAACTTAAAAACAGAACAATGCTCTCAAAATTAGTTTTTTTATGGGCAAGCCATGGAGGTGGAAGGTTGTTAAACAACAGCCCTAGATAACTGTAAACACAGATAATCAATAGCTCATCCAAAAAAAAAACTAAAGATAGGAGGACAAACAACAATGAGAAATTTAACAAAGACTTCAAATTAAGATATGATCATATATAGATAAACTCTAGCACTCTTCCACATAAAACTAGCAAAAGAAGTACAACAAGCATAGATACAATAAGGTTTTAAATCATGGTAGTCACTGTGACATGGATACATGGTGTAACAAATGTGACAGCACCAACCGAGATGCCAGATTTGTGAGAGTTGTGGCTAAAAAGTCAAACCCTTTAGGAGGTGGTGCTTGGGTTATGCCTTATTGCTCATGGCTCTACCATGTCAACATCCCCCCTTCCACGTGTATTATAACTTAGCGGGCTATGCATGATTTACTCTAGAACCTATAAATTTTAGGTTTTAGTAATTTCTAATGAATTTTGTGTAACTTCTAAACAGATGATACAATTTATTATGGGTATCAAGTCACTGCCAAGAAGGAATATCACCCACTTTTTAAATAATTTACGTTACCTTTCACTATTTGAGGACTGTATCAGATTAACACAATGTATCTCATAAAGCACACTCAAGCTTTATCCATATCACAATGTTACTAAAAATGCATGGTCGAAGTAGTGCAATTCAGATATTACTGCATTATACTTTCAGAGGCATAATTACTAACAGATTATAAATTGCAAGTAATTAGTCAATAATCAAACAAAAACAAATCATTGTCAAGTTATTATTATACCTAATAAAAAATAGACAACAAATAAACCAAATATAAACTCCAAAAATGAAAAAATTATAAGATTCATAGATTTTTACTTTCATCAAGATCAAAAGTCTAGATTTTGAATACTAAACTGGAAAAAATAAAAATTTATAGGAAAATCCAGGATATGGAAGATATTGTAGATTCACCCACAAATCATCAAAGATCCAACATAAAACAACTATTTTAGATTAGAAATGATAAATCTAACCTAAATTGAGTATTTAAAAACTAAAAAAACAAATACCTTAATAATAAAATATCCAACAAATTTTCAATCACATGATCACCAACTTTCGATATTTGACGTTTAAAGCCTAGATCTAAGCTTGGGAAGATGATTTCAAGGGATTACAAGACTGAAAATCCAAAGGAGGTCCAGAAGCGACAGGAGGAACGGCTTAGTTTGGCCTTTGAAGAATCGCATCCTAATAGATGCCCTAATAAACCTAATAGCACCTGGGATGGAAATTTAATTCAAAAATCTGGGGCCTGGCCCCTAATAAGAAGGGCATAAATGGTCAGGGGAGGGGCTGGTTATGAGAATAAATACATAGGCTGATGTGGGTTCAAGAAGGGGCCACCTACGCACCTCAATATGCTTAATTAATTCCTAAAACAAAACCTAACATATTTCAATCTTCCTAATATACCCTTGATGTTTAAATGGAAGATTAGGGTTTCTATCGAACACAAGTCTAAACATGTCCAACTATTTTATTTTTTTAAAATTCTAGACTCAGACACAGATCAAATACTTGGGGAACACCACATGTTTATTGCTTACATACAGCGCATGAAGCACATTACAAGTTTGAATAAAATAACTTAAAATCCAATGATTTAAGAAAACATAATTTTATACTTAATCTTCTCCATTACTGTTAGAATTTACCATCACCTACCACCACTACCACCTCACCTACTCCACTAAACCTAACCCACTACACCACTACCACCTCACCTACTCCAC